ATGCAGGCTGCTCAGGGGTGAGTTGGGATGGGACTGCAGGCTGCCCAGTGGTGAGTTCGGATGGAGATGCAGGCTGTTCAGAGATGAGTTCCATTGCACCCACTTTCTGTTGGGCAGATCCCATCACATGGTTCCAGCTAAACACAAAGATAGCTGGGAAAAGGAGTTTTTCACTCACCCAGGGAAAAATGAAAGGTCTGGCAAACAGCACTGTCACTGTCACTGAGGAGCTGGAGTGGGGAGGGGATGGAAGCAGTCTGTGGTGGGCGGTTTTCTGAAGGGTAGTGCATGCTGTGGCGACCCTTTGAGCTCCAGGCACATGAGGAGACTTAGGGGTGGGGCATTAAGCAGAAACCCCAGGTGTTATGTCAGATAGGAGCCTAGGGGCTCCTATCTGCATAAAGTAGATGACTCTGGTGAGACCACTGTGTCAGTCTGATGGTTTTATTGGATCCCATGACACAACTGGGAGTTGAGGAGTTGCCTCCACAGTGACAAAGGAAAAGAGGAGAGAGAACTCAGCTCCCCAAGCAAGGCGTGTGGGACAGGAAGGCTTCTTTTTTTTTTTTTTTTAATTTTTTCTTTTATTTAAAAAATTTAAAAAAATATATGGAATGCTTCACGAATTTGCGTGTCATCCAAAGCTTCTTATGAGATACAGCTGCAACCATCCTTCTGAGGATGCAAGCCTGCACCTATGTTTGCAGGAGACTTAAGGAGAGTGGTCCTCAGAGAGGCCAGAGCAAGGCAAGCCACTGGAAAGGAGGCGAAGGTTTGACAGGGGAGCTGGAACCCCGGGAGATTTGGCATGGATTTTGGAATAAGGATCAGAGGTAGCACAAATTGGCTTCTCGGCTGAGCTGACACAGAGGAGCCTGTGGCCCCAGGCTCTCCCTCACCTGTGTCCTCAGATTCCAGTTTCTCCCAGCTGATGGACCAGGCACTGTCTGACAGATTTGGAACAACTTCAGGAATCCGGTTAGTTGACAATCATATCCAGCGTTTATTTTTAAAAAACAAAACATTCACATAGTGTTGTCACAATTTTTGGTAGGAAAAATGCATGTGTATCTCTATATGTGTACTAGAAAACTAAAAGGAGATATAAAACTAAGTAATAGTCAGTTTTAAACGTTAACCTGAAAATTCTCAGTGATAATTCAGCAGCATACTTCGGCTCATCCTGTCCAGCTTCGGTCCCAGTGAGGAGCATGGTTACTGACAGGCAAGATCCTCTGGCCTCGAAGTTTCACTTGAGGTAAAAGAGCTCATCTCAGGTAAATAACAGGCCAAGAGTGGTGGGCACCATCATCACTAGCCAACTTGCAATCCATTCTACTGCAAAGGACCGGACTGAAAGAACAAGAAAACCCTATACTTAGGCATCTTAACTAATGTGTTGAGAAGGGTCCGGGGTACCGGACACTGGTGTGGGAGCTCACAGAACAAGGGAATGAATTTCTTCCCTGAATCCAATCCTATTTGCCTGGGACATCTTATTCCTCAGTCTCCCCAAACATAAAGTATAAAAAGTGCAGAAATTTCTTAAAAAGCACTGGCTTAGCTGGGTCCTGTGCTCGAAGGTTACCTTGACATATCTGTGGCCTGGGAAAGCATCTCTCCCGTACTCTGGACAGCAACAAGATAGGGCAGGTCTTCGGGTGTAGACAGATGACCGCATAATACAATGCACAGCTGACATTAGAGAGAAAAGGACCATTTCCTTTTCTTATTTCTGTACCTCACTAAGTATCTGCACCAACTAGAAAGAAGAAAGGAAGGGAAAGGAAGACAGAAAAGGAAAGAAAAAGAAAGAGGATGGAAGGAAAGCTTAGATGCTGGGGTAGGGCAGGGCTGAGCTGGAGAAAATCAAAACAAAAAAGGAATGAGTGATACAATATGGAAGGGAGGTTGCAGGTGCTTTCTAGGATAATTTGGGTGACTACAAAGTGACAGATGGGTTTACCCTTCCAAAAAAAAAAAAATGGATGTGTTACTGCTTTTATCCTCTCTTCGGATGAACATTCACACCCATTTTACAGAGGACAAGGAATGTGCTTCTTCCTTTTTCTGGATCTCAAGATGTGATATTGATATGAGGGCGGTGTTGAAACCACCAACCAAATTGTGGTATCACGGTCAGACACCAAACTGTCGGAGTGGGTCTGTGGTGGCAGAAGAGCAGGCCATGTCAGGAGAGGCTGGTAGAGATGGCTAATTAGTCAGGAAGAACATGAAGAGCATGCAGGCTCCACAGTCCACATGTGGGAGTAGAGGTAAAGGAATCAGTGCAGGTGAGGAGGATAAACCAAGCCCAGGAAGGCCACAAAGCATCAACGTTCTCAGAGGCCAGGATCCCTGACGATAGGGTCACAGGTGAATGTGAGCACCTCAGGTCTAAGTTATTCTAGAACGATATGTACGCCAGGGCTTAGGGATCTGACTTCAGGATTGTGGAGGTAGGGGGTCCAGAGTGCTGAAGATATTGATCCAGGTTTATTAAGGGGTCCCCAAAACTCTAGGAGACTGTGTTTCATTTAGCTCCCGCTCACTAAGGACGTTGTCACGCACTGTGCCAGGCAGGTTATGTGTCTTGTCTCATTGAATCCTTAGCACCAGATAAAAACTGTTATTTTGGCCAGGCGCGGTGGCTCACGCCTATAATCCCAGCACTTTGGGAGGCTGAGGTGGGTGGATCACGAGGTCAAGAGATAGAGACCATCCTGATCAACATGGTGAAACCCTGTCTCTACTAAAAATACAAAAATTAGCTGGGCATGGTGGCATATGCTTGTAGTCCCAGCTACTCGGTAGGCTGAGGCAGGAGAATTGCTTGAGAATTGCAGGAGAACCCAGGAGGCGGAGGTTACAGTGAGCCGAGATCGCGCCATTGTGCTCCAGCCTGGGTAACAAGAGCGAAATTCCATCTCAAAAAAAAGAAAAAAGAACTGTTATTTTGCCCTTTATTTAGGAAGACCATGACTTGGGGAAACTAAGCAACTTGTTTAGCTAGTAAGTGACAGTCCTAGAAGTGACCCCAAGTGTGACTGACTCTAAAACCCATGGCCTTAGCTGTCCCACGCTAGCACCAGTGTAGGCCTGATCTAGAGCCAGGTGTGACACTCCAGGGAGTGGATCCTCCCAGGAGACGGGAATTTGGCTTCCTAACTTCACCTAGGTACATCGGCCTGGGGAGGAGAAGCTTCGCCTGAGGCTCAGGCTCTCATGCCTGCTTAACAGCCCTCTCATCCCCATCTCCTCCATCCCTCTTTCCTTGGCTGACTTTGTCTGTCTAATGAAGCCCCTCTAGACAGCTGCTGTCCCACTTGCCCTTCCTTCTCCCTGCTCACCCTGATGTTTCAGACTGCTCTACAATGCCCCTGGCCTCAGATGTTAGGACTATGCTTTGTTAGAGCAGGAGAGGGAAGAGAAGCATCAGGGGTCTCTGCCAAACGCCCTTTGCAGGTGAGGACACTGAGGCCCATGAAGGTGAGGTGAGCCGACTGGGAGGTGGTGATAGAGCTGGTGGCAGAACCCACGTCTCCCAGCTCTCCCAGACACCACCACACTGTGCAAGGAGGCTGAGCAGGACCCCCAGCCCTTCTTCGTTACCAGTTACCCTGTGCGCCGCTCAGCTCCCCAGGGATCCTTCTTACCCAAGGTACACGGCGGACTGAAGCAGACCGTGTCATTCTCGCTGCTCACGGGATTGCTGACTTGGCAAGTATAACACCTGGAGTAATCCTGTGACTTGAGGGTGGTTTCCAGCACACCGCTCTGGAACTCCTTTGGGAAGGGCCCTTTGTCCCCGTACCAAGTGTGGCTTACAGACTCGTCAGGTATCACACATGACAGTTTCAGATAACAGTCGTCCTCCACTTTTTCTGTCTTCTCAATTTTGATGTCAGGCTTGGGTACAGGGTCTGAAAGTGAGGAGGATGTTATAAAATGAGACAAGGAGGCATTCATGCTGTGAGAGTTTAGCCAACAAAGACTGAAGGGAGCCAGGGAAGGGACCTGATTGCCCCAGGAGGCAGAGTCTTGAAGAAGAAGTCCCACAGAGGGAGCCACTGAGCAGCCTTGACCTCATGAGGCCTCACAGACTGCAAGAGCAACTCCTAGGCAGTGAAACTAAGCTGGGTCCCGGAGGGGGCGCCAGAGTCCATTACATGCTCTGGGAACGAAATGGGGTTATGATCATGTTGAGCCTGAAAGAACGGCCCAGAGACCTGCTGGGGTCAGACTTAGTGTACCAATTGTCTGAGATGCTCAGGGCCCCTTCTCTAGCAATGCATCACAGTGGGCACCTTGGCTGGTCTGCCTCTCAAGAATTCTTGGGCTCACATTCATCAAGAGTCCTAGGTAAGCGGTACCCGCCTGCACATGGCAAAGCCCTTTGCACAACCATCCAGTGCAGGTGCCAGCCTTCTGGACTCTGGCAGAGCTACAGAGAAGAACTTCACGTAACTTCCAGCCTCATCAATGGTGATAAACGGGTTGGTCTGCTGACTTTGGGATCTCTGTGTCTAGCACAATCCCTGCCACATGGCAGGTATTCAATAAGTATCTCATGAAACGATGAATGAATGAAGTAGTTATGAGATAGAAAGGATAAAACAGGGCCGGGCACAGTGGCTCACGCCTGTAATCCCAGCACTTTGGGAGGCCGAGGTGGGTGGATCACGAGGTCAAGAGACCGAGACCATCCTGGCCAACATGGTGAAACCCCGTCTCTACTAAAAATACAAAAATTAGCCGGGCATGGTGGCATGTGCCTGTGGTCACAGCTACTTGGGAGGCTGAGGCGGAAGAATCACTTGAACCCAGGAGGTGGAGGTTGCAGTGAGCTGAGACTGCACCTCTGCACTCCAGCCTGGCGACAGAGCAAGACTCCGTCTCAAAAAAAAAAAAAAAAAGAAAGAAAGAAAGAAAGGATAAAACATGGCCGGTGCAGTGGCTCACATCTATAATCCCAGCACTTTGGGAGGCTGAGGCAGGAGGATTGCATGCAGCCAGGAGTTAGAGACCAGCCTGGGCACAATATTGGTAAGATAAAATGTCACCTGTCATGGAGAATTGCTTTTTGCAGAGTGTAATTATTGCAGCAGACATTCTAGAGGTCACTTGACCATTATTACTATTGTCCTGCTGTCAGAGAGAGTGGGAGATAGTCCCAGCATCTGGTCCTTCCTTGGCTAAGGCTGATTTACCTGCAATCCTCCGAGATCTTTTCATTCTGCAAAACATCTGCAGAATCAATGCAGCTCAAACTCCACAAGGTTAAAAGATGGCAGAGAATTGACCAGACGAGAGCTTGCCTCTTGACTGCCTGTGGGGCTCTAGAAGCTCTACCAGCCTGGACCCTGGAACTCTAGTTTTATCTCCTCTGTGAAGCCGATCTCAGATTGTTAAGAGATTGTTCGGACTACAGAGGAGTTAAAAGTGAACTGGACTTCCCCTACATGCTTTAATTGAGCAATTGTTATCCTGATTTTCACCATTTCCTGTATTCTAGCCTCTTATCTTACACTCCTTCTGCATATCCCATGGTGATCAGCACAGCACTGGACATGCTGCTGATGAAATTAATTGACCAGCTTGGGTTGTCCAACTCTAAGATGCTCACTTTGAGCTGTCAAATGCTTGGGCTGAACCAGAGGACTATTTTTCTGCTAATCACATCCTGGAAATCTTACCCTCAGACAGAATGTGCTCTCCCTCAGGCAGGAAGCTCAAACCAGTTTGTGGATTCTTAAGTATTCAGAAATTTTGCAAGCTTTTTGTGAAACCATTAGTTTACCAAAATCAACTGTGGTAGTAGTTAAACCACAGAAATTATAAGTTGGTAAACGATATACATTAGGGCTTTTTTTTAAAAAGTTTATCTTGTAGAGCTTTTTAACACCACTGTAAGATACCTTGAATCTTTTCTGTTCCCAGGACTTTTTTCAGGCTATATGACGCGGAAGAAGAGTGAGAAGGGGAATCTGACTGCTTAGATCAGGGACTATCTGGCTGGTGGAATCTGAATATACACAACACTCTTCATTTGCATCTTTTAACATTTTTTTAAATGCTTTCATTTTTCTTACCTACTTTGATTCTTATAACATCCTAAAAGGTAGGTAGAATTAGCCTCATAACATGATGAAGAACCCAAGTCTCCCAAGAGAACTCCACTCTTGGATATTTAGCCCCCTACCCTTCCACAAGAATTGCATACCCCAACCCCTGGAGACCTCCTGAGATCCATGTTTCTGCCATGTAAGCTGACCCTTTCATCATAAATGTTTAGATCAGGTACACGCACCTGAACTAAGTTGGGACTGTCAGTTTCTCTCTCTTTAAATTGCCCTGAGAACTGAAACTCAGTGGAGCAAAAGTCTGAGCTTTGAGAACTAACGAGTGTAAAATGGCAGGAATCCAAATCCATAGGCACGTTCCAGAGATTCCTGAGGCTAGGGGCTCCAGCCTGACCCTGATTTTCAATCTTCCTCCCCTTCCGCCCTTCTTGGCTCTTTTAAACTCCCAGAATTGCTTTAAATAGGCCCAGTTCCTTAAACTAAATTCTCCTTTTTTTGGTAAAGGTTCATTGAATTAGTTTCTGTTACTTGCTATCAAAAGAATCTTACCTAATATGGGCACAGAGATGTGAAGATCTTTTTCCAAGGTTGCACAGCCAGTGAGCAACTGACCAGAGTTTTGAACCCAAGTCTGTCTGACTCCAAGCATAATGCCCTAGTCCTTATTCCATATATACTGGTTAGTCTGGAGCGGTGAGTTGAAGTTTTTTGTCCCGCGCATTATGAAAGGTGAAAAATTCTCCTAGTAACTTCTGCCCCATTCTTTATATTAATACATACTCTTTTTTTTTTTTAAGTCCGATGAAGCCTAACTTTAGAGATATAATTAAGATAAGCTGAGCCAATTTAGGTTGATCACAGGACAGAATGAAGAAATAGAGAGAAAAAAATCTCTAGTTTTCCTTCTCCTCAAATATTAGACTCACTAACTTCAGAAGAGGCGTTAAATGTCCTAAGATTGCTAATTTGAGGATCTGCTGACCTAGGCTCACTCTCAAATAGAACTGGATCCAGGGAAAATGAACCAAATCTGTCCTGAGGTTTTTCTCTCCTCCTCCCCGAGTGGCCCATGCCTCCCAGGAAGCCCCACAGTAGTCCATCTGGGGCCCCTGGAGTGGGGATTTGCTCTTTGGCTCCCAGACTCACCAAACACCTGCAGCCTGATCTTCCATTCTTGCTCAGACATGGTCTTCTTCAACACCCTCATGATGTAGATGTTGGCATCCTCTTTCTGGACCTTAGACATGTACAGTGCGCCACTTCGAGAATCGAGTCTGACCCTGCCTTTAAATCTATTTTCAAAGTACTTAAGTCTTCTGACATCCCAGTCTGCGATCTTCAGGTTATAAGTATAAAACCAAGTTATTCCTTGGACGTTCTCAGGTAGGCTCTCGGAGATGTTCAGAGTCACATTGCCGCCGGAGACCGCGTTTATAACATCTACCGAATCACCTGCCAATGAGAGTCAGAGTGAGACCTGCCCTAGAGAGGGCAGTGTTGCTAAGAGGCCCAGGGTGTAGCCTGGGCTGATGAAACAGGCAAGAAGGAAGGGATTTCTGCTTAGGAGCAGTGAGTCTAGTTTTTATTGGTGGTCCAGGTCGCCTGCTCAGGAATTCAAGAAAAGTGGGAGATTGAAAAGTGGACATGAGGGGAGGGGGTGTTGCTTATAATTCATCTAGTGCTGCCCCCAGAAAAGAAAAGAATTGAGTAAGGCCAACTGAGGTTGGGCCTGGCTCTCTCCCTTACTCTCATACCAGAAGACTTTCAAATAAACTGATGACAAGTCATATCTCCTCTCTGGTCTGGTGTTTCCTGTCTGTTCAATATAGTTCAATAAGCATTTTGTTAATTCCTAGAGGCATAGACATAAAAAGTACATGATTCTATTTTCAAAGATTTAATACACCAATGTGGGAGGACAGACACACAAACAAATAATCCTAATATCTTGGTGACTATAAAACAGTTAATGGAGGAGCCAAGGAAAGCTTCCCCTTCACCTTCTGAAGATTTGCCAAAAATCACTGACAAGAGGCAGATTAAGGAGAAAAGGCATCCAGATGAACTTAAGCTGTACGCAGAGCCCTCGGAAGGAAGAGCCAAAGATACAGGGCACATTGTCCATTTTTATGCTTAGGTTCTACAAAGTACAGACAGTCGTGGAGAAATATGATTGGACAAAAAGAATATGATCGAATGCTAATAGACTGATGGGGGAACGCAGCAAGGCCTGCCTGTCTAGACTATGCTTGGCCTTTCTGTGCCGTGTTCCTTCCTTCCTCCTGCGTGTGGGGCAGGCTGTCTCTGGAATGGGGGTCTTATGATTCACAATCACACAAGATAGGTCAGATAATTTCTTTGTGGCTATTTTTTTTTTTTTTTTTTACATAGAAAGGCTCAAGGAAAGTTAGGGTGGTATATTTAAGTTCTATGGCTGGTTTTGGGAAAAAGGGGTTTGGGTTTCTATGGCCTGCCTTGGGAAAGAGGGATTACAGTGTCTATGGCTAGCCTAGGGGAGGACAGGACTGAGAGACAGAAAGGCAGGAGAAGGTCAGAGAAAAACTTTCACTCCTCGGGCTGCTTCTGAGGCCATGATTTTGGGGCACTGTTTTCTGAGTCCCAACAATAAACACAGTGTGCTATGGGAATATATTCCTATCCAGAGGGTAGGGATAGAAAATGGAGAAAATACTAAGAAAAATCTCTTTGGAGGAGATGATCACTAAGGTAAGCCAAAGGATGATTAAAAGCTAATATTTGTTGAGAACTATCTGTCAAGCACTATTTGAGACGCTTGGGATACATCAATGAACTAAGCGGCAAAGATCCCCACCTCGGCAGAGGTTACATTAGAGTGGGGTGAAAAGACAGTAAGCAATAAATCCCCTAACCGAACACACTATCTAGCATGTAAGGAGGTGATAACTACCATGACAAAGGAGAAAACCTAAAAGGGGTAAGGGGAGTCACGAGGGCTGGTGGGGTAGAAGGGCGAACTTCATTTATAAGGTGATAAGCAGGTCACATCTGAGCAAGGACTTGGAGGAGACAGGTGGCCAAGCAGACATCTTGGGTAAGAGGGACCCAGACAAAGAAAGGAAAGAGCCAGCGCAAAGGCCCTGGGGCAGGGGTGTGCCTGCCACATGTGAACAATAGCAAGGAGCGGCAAGGCAAGTGGGTAGTGTGGAGCGAGCAAGGGGAGTGGTTGTTGAGAGACGGCGAGAGAGGAGTGGATTGGAGAGAGTGGATGGACACGTTTTAGCTTTATTCATAATGTTTCGTCCTATAGAAAAAAAAACGTTACCCTGTAAAAATGGCTCGTGTCATGTGTGCGTATTTACAATGTGTTTAGAAGCAAGTTACTAGAAGGTAAGAAAGTGGAGACTGGATAAACTATTATTTCACAAAGTTTGGATCTGAGGCAGGTTTCCTGTGAAAGGGATGAAGCTGAAGCTTCGGGGCTTCTTGGTTGGCCCTGGAGGAGCCCTAGCAGTGTATTCATGTGATCCGCTTTGCAAAACATATCTTTAAACACAAATAATTAGACCACTGCCTTCGTCTACGCTAAAATCCCCTTCGTCACATTTCTGTTTTTGTTGGGTGGCATCTCAGTTATGGGCATTTTGAGGTCTGGCTGAGGGGAAGTAGAAATGGGGTTAGTTGGGGTTAGTGGGATAGATGTACGAGAGTTGCAACATCTTGTGTGTGAAGTTCTTTTACATTGCAATGCGATCTGAAGATGAGGAAGGAGAAACAATAAAAATAGACTCTTCTCTTAAGACATTCCCACTTGAATGGGGAACAGAATGGCAGGGCATGATGTAAAGGGTCATGAAAAGGTAGAGAGTGTTTTGTTTTTGTTCTTAGTGGTATTTAAGGAGGGAGAAGACCTCAGCTATGGTAAGCCAGGGAAAGGAACCAGTGGAGGGAAGACATGAAGAGAAGGGAGGTGATTGCTGAGCCTGGGCTAGTGGAGCTCAGAGCAGAGTTGATGGCTGGGAAGAGAGATACTTCACCCCCGAGGGAAAAGAGGAGGAAGAAAGGTGGAGGAGGCGGTGGAGAGAGGCTACCAGTTTGAAGATAGTGGGCATATCTTCATATGTATGAGGGTTGCAAAATCCTGTGTGTGACGTTCCTTCACTTCAGTGAAGAAATAGCATCCAGGAGTATTCCTGCCGCCCTCTGCACTGACTCACTTGCAATGGCCGTGGACGTGTGGCAGTCGGGCTGCAGGTGGGAAGTAGAGGAGAAAGCAGATTGGAAGTGAACAATAGCCGGAGCTATTCAGTGGCAAAGTAGTACAGAAGCGTGAGGCATTTCATTAACTAAAAATATGGTGCTATTTTTTCTGCTGTCATGGTCTAAGTAGTATTTGTATTTTTTAAACTTGTACTAATTCCTTGGGATTTCTTTTTTATTCGAATTGACTTTATTTTTGTTTCTATTTGTATTTACAGTTTTGTTCTTTTCTTTTTCTTTTTCATGAGAATACTCCAAATTGTATGAGCCTCAGGTTATTTTTAAAAACCTAGTTTGGTTAAGATAAGGAGAAAGAAAAGATGATAAGGACAAGGTACAGGGTGAAGAGGGGTCTATTGGCTCTTTCTGAGGAGGTGGAACTTCGAATATGTATACAAAGGCTGAAAAGAGCAGTAGGAAAAAAAACTAAAGGTAGAAGAAGAGGAAATGTGTCCTATCTCACTCGGGTGTCATATGCTGCCACACACAAACTCAGTTGTGCTCTTCAACATGATCTATACTAGCTGTTCACTTTCCAGATAGCCATCATTTCCAAAAGCATTCTCAACCACAAAAAGATAAAAATGTCTGTGTCCCCGGAGCTTTCAAGTTCCTGTTCATTCAGACTTCCAACCACTCATCTATCTATTCAACAAACATTTATTGAGCACTTACCCTGTCCTGGTTTCTATGCAGAAAAAACCTAGGCATTCATTTCTACAGTGCTTCTGGTTGGTCCAGCCCATGTCCTATAATCCCTCTGAAAGAATCAGTCCAAGCCAACAACAGTCATCACACAACCACAACAGGCCGGGCGCTGTGCTAGACTCTGCTGTCAGCAAGGCAGATAGAGTCTCCAGCCTCTTGGAACATACAGCCTAGGAGGACATTCTTTCCAGGATTTTAAAATCACTAGCCATATTCCAGACTTGTTCTCCTTCTGTTACTTGTTTCCACATGAATTAATAGAAGCGATCATAGTAGGCAGTCCAGACTAATGTTTTTCAGTCTTGACATTATTGACATTTTGGGTCACATAATTCTTTTATGTAGGAGGCTGTTCTGTGCATTGTAAGATGTTTGCCAGCATCCCTGCTTATCTGCGCACTAGGTGCCAGTAACACTTGCCCAATTGTGACAGACAAAAATGTATCCAGATATTGTCAATTGTCCCTTGAGGGACAAAATTCTCCCATGCTCACTCTGGTTGAGAAGTACTGAGCTAGGTCATCCTTGGTGGACTCCCCAGAATGTCTCAGACATATACATATACTTAGGAAGACAGCACAATCCACTGTCTGATGACAGAGGCAGGTAGTAACACCAGACAGATCATTTTAGAAGAAAAAAAAAAAAATATATATATATATATATATAGAGAGAGAGAGAGAGAGAGAGAAAGAGAGAGGGAGAGGGGGAGAGAGGGAGAGAGAGGGAGAGAGAGAGAGAAAGAGAGAGAGTGAGTTTCACCCAGGCTGGAGTGTGGTGGTACAATCTCAGCTCACTGCAACCTCCGCCTCCCAGATTCAAGCAATTCTCCTGCCTCAGCCTCCCAAGTAGCTGGAATTACAGGCATGCACCACCACGCCTGGCTAATTTTTTGTATTTAGCAGAGACGAGGTTTCACCATGTTGGTCAGGCTGGTCTCGAACTCTTGACCTCAGGTGATCCACCTGCCTTGACCTCCCAAAGTGCCGAGATTACAGGAGTGAGCCACCATGCCCAGCCCATTTCAGTATATTATGAGTGCTGATGACAGGTACGCATACAGTATTGTATGTTTCCTCTCTACCTCCTTAACTATCTATGTGTACCAATTTCAAAAAGCTGTCTTCATGTTTGACTGTGACTTCTTACTGAGAAATAAAGAAGTAATTAACTGCTGCTAAAATCCTGATCTGCCTTCTTAACAATTCCATCTTTTAGGAAGTAGGTAAAGCAACCTTTTAAAAAACTACTGTTTTGATTTAATTCTAACAGGAAGTAGTTGGTGATATGCCTGGATGGTTGGGATGAAGTAACACTCTTAGAGTCTACCTGATTTCTCCAGAATCTGGAAACTATTTCTGAGTATTCTTAACTTATGACAATACAGTTATTTGCATAAGTCCAATATGACTCTGTTTCCTTTTGCAACAGGATGCAATTGGAAAAACTGGTTGTTTTACCAAGGCTTTGACTGGAATGGTGTGCTTTCCTTTAAGGAATCAAAA